AACTGATAAATAGGAATATGTCCAGAATAATTTTACATAGATATACTAATTTGTGTCCAATGGTGGCTATATCTTTTGTGGGGATTGGTGGGGAAGAAAAGAAAAGAAAAAAGAGAGTTTCAAAGAAAGCAAGGGAAAGGAGTTGAAGACACCAATTGGAAATGGCCATCTCTAGCTGTTCAACCATAAAATGAAGGAAAGATATTGGACACCATTTCCTGGGGATGCATGGGGCATGTGAGAGTATTTTAAGGATTAGAGAGAAATTATTTTATTTGTAGTAATAGGGAAAGGGTCATTAGTGTGACCCTATCACCCTGGAAGCAGAGCTCTACTTTAACAAACACTTAAAAGTCAAGTAATAGATAGGAAAATGAACAAACAATGAAAAAAACTCTGACCATGAAAAGTTAGTATGATGACAAGGAAAATCAAAACACACATGCAGAAGATGACAAAGTCAAAGCTCCAAGATAAATATGAATTAGTCTCAGGCCATGGAAGAGCTCAAAAAGGATTTTGAAAATCAAGTAAGAGAGATAGAGGAAAATTTGGGAAAAATGATACAAAAAAATCATGAAAATGTGTATACAGCTTGGTGGAGGAGACAGAATATAGCACCTTATAATAGAAAATAACACCTTGGGGAAGCTAGGTGGCACAGTGAATAGAGCTCTGGCCTTGGAGTCAGGAGGAGCTGAGGACCAGCCTCAGACACTTAACACTTACTAGCTGTGTGACCCTGGGCAAGTCACTTAATCCCAATCGCCGCACCGTAAAAGCAAAAAAACAACCAAAAAAAGAAAATAACACCTTAAAAAACAGACTAGGCCAAAAGGTAGAAGAGGTGCAAAAAGCCAATGAGGAAAAGAATGCCTTAAAAAGCAGAATTGGCCAAATGGAAAAGGAGGTCCAAAAGCTCATTGAAGAAAATAATTCCTTAAAAATTAGAAAGGAACAAATGGAAGCTAATGACCTCATGAGAAATCAAGAAACAACAAAGGAAAACCAAAAGAATGAAAAAATAGACAACTATGAAATATCTCATTGGAAAAACAACTGACCTGGAAAATAGATCCAGGTGATATAATTTAAAAATTATTGGACTATCTGAAACAATTCAAGTATTTATGGAGCCAAAGTCAGGATCACATAAGATTTAGTAGCTTCTATCTTAAAGGATCAGAGGGTTTGGAATATAATATTCCAAAGGGCAAAGGAGCTAGGATTACAACCTAGAATCACCTACTAAGAAAAACAAAATGAATATATAATGAGATAATAGAACTTTCAAGCATTCTCCATGAAAAGACCAGAACTAAATAGAAAATCTGACTTTCAAATACAAGACTTGAAGAGAAGCATAAAAAGGTCAACAGGAAAGAGAAATCATAAAGGACTTCATAAGTTTACGCTATTTCTATTCCTACATGGGAAAATGATAGTTTTAACTTCTAAGACCTTTCACATTATCAGGGTAATTAGAAGGAGTATATATAGACAGAGGGCACAGGTGTAAGTTGAATATGAAGGGATGATATCTAAAAAATAACAGTAATAGGTCATGGAGGAATGTACTGGGAGAAAAGGAGAGGGAGAATGGGGCAAATTATCTCACATAAAAGAGATAAGAAAGGGTTTTTACTTTATTCTCATCAGAATTGGCTCAAAGTAGGAATAACATACACATGAAGTTGGGTTTAGAAATTTCTTACCCCACAGGAAAGTTGGAGGAGAAGGGGATATGAGAAGGGGGTGGGGTGATAGAAGGCAGGGTGGATTGGGGGAAGAGGTAGTCAGAAACAAAACACTTTTGTGGAGGGACAGGATAAAAGGAGAGAGAGAATAGAATAAACAGGTGGAGGAAAATAGGATGGAGGGAAAGACAGCAATAGTAAGTTTAAAAAATTTGAAGAAAGTTTCTCTGATAAAGGCATCATTTCTCAAGCACATACAGAACTTAGGCAAATTTATAACAGTGTCATTCCCCAATAGATAAATGATCAAAAGACATGATCAGTTTTCAGATGAAGTGATAAAAGCTATCTATAGCCATACAAAAAATAGTCTAAATCATTATTGACTTGAGAAATGTAAATTTAAACAATTTTGAGGTATTACCTCATGACTATTAGATTGGTTACTAGGACAGGAAACGTAAATGACAATTGTTGTAAGGAACATGGGGAAAATGAGACATTAATGTACAGTTGGTGTAGTTCTGAACTGATTCAACCATTCTGCACAGCAATATGGAATTATGTCCAAAGGGCTGTAAAAGCATGCATACCCTTTGACCTTTCAATACCACTACTAGGTCTGTATCCCAAACAAGATTAAAAAAAAAAAGCAGGAGGACCTATATGTACAAAAATATTTATAGCAGCTCTTTTCTGAGGGCAAAGAATTGGAAATTGAGGTAATGCCCATCAATTGAGGAATGACTGAACAAGTTGTAATACGTGATTATGCTGGAATACTATTGCTATGATGAGCAGGATGCTCTCTGAAAAACCTGAAAAGACTTGCATGGGCTGATGCAAAATGAAATGTATTGTGTACTAAGTAACAGCAACATTGTAAGATGAATGACTTAGCTATTCTCAGCAATACAATGATCCACAACAACTCTGAAAGACTTATGGTGAAGAATGGTATCCATCCCCAGAGAAAGAACTGATGGTGTGTGAATACAGATTGAAGCATACTTTTTAAACTTTATTGTTCATGAGGTTTTTTTTTTTTTGTCTACATTTCCTTTTACAAGAAGACTATTGTGGAAATGTTTTCATCACATTACACATATATAACCTGTATCGAATTGCTTGCCTTCTCAATGAAGGAGAGAATTTGGAACTCAGTGTTTTAAAAATAAATGTTAAAAATGTTTTTTAAATGTAACTGGAGAAAAATAAAATACTAAATATTTTTTTGAAGAAGAGCTGAATAGAGGAGAAAATATTCAGTATCAAATGAAAGCAGTAGCTAGAGTTTAGACAGCACTTACTATGTGTCATGCACTGTATACATATTGTCTCATTTTATTTTCATGAGAACCTTAAGAGTTAGGTGCTCTTATTATCCTCATTTCACAGATTAAAAAAAAACTGACACAGAGTTCTTGTGACTAACCTAAGGTCATAGAGCTAGCAAGTTTCTGAGGTGGGATTAGAACCTAGGTTCTTGTGATTTGAAGTCCAGCATTCTATCCACTGCACCACCAGTTGTATTCTGATTTTTAAAGAGAATAGTGGGGAAATGCTCACTCATGGATGAGGTGGAAAATGGAAGGAGAATTTGACAAGCTTTTGCTAAAGGATGGAAAGTAATTTTTTTAACTCTCTAACATTAAGTCACAATGAATTACTAATTACTATGACAAAAATTTCTTTTTCTATTGGCTCAACATAACTACTGCATTACATGACAAATGTACTTGAAAGTCAATTGCAAATGTTGGTTTATTATTATTAAATTATTAATAATTATATACAAAACAGTCTTTGAAAGGATGGAATTTATTTAGACATGACTTTGTTTTCTACCACTGGTAAACTGGCTACACATTCAGTGAAACTCTACTGAATGATTAACCCATGTTGCCAATCAAGTCCTTTGAAAAGTTTGGATGGAAAAAGTAACATAAACAAAGGAGAATTTCAAAGTAGAAAACAATCTTAGCATTTCAATGATCTGTTTTTGTAGAAAGGTTGTGGTGGGTCATAATGGTTTCATGATGACCTCTACTGTGCATGCCTAGTGATCATGATTTTCAAATAGCCTGCCCTCACTAATGTAAGAATGCAAACCCGAGTAAAATCTTGATCTGGTGATTACAAGGTAGATCAAGAATGAGAGAACCACTCTGGTGCAGTGATAGCCTCTTATTCTTTGCATTCCTGTGACCATTTACACATGAAGGTCCAGCCTTCCTGGAAGTTTGGAAACAATTTCATGTCAAGTTGAGAAACTGTAAGAATATGTTGCACATAGTCAGAAGCACTCAGAATTTGAGTTACTTGCTGCACAATTCCCAAAAGCAGTGTATTCCAGATCATCATATTTAGAAATCACTGCAGAAAGACTGTTGTTAAGGTTGAAACATTCACATACTTCATGTTTCAGAGGATAAATATCTTTGTAACCAAATTGGACAATCATTTACCACTCCAGGTGCCACTGACCAATTTTTAGCTCAAGTCCCTTGAATCATTGACAACAATCCTTGAAGGGGTTTGTGAACTTTGAAAGGGGAAGGAGTGCAAGAGGACCAATATTGAAGCACTCTATTCATTTTTGTAGAAGAAGATGATGAACTAAAATTCCTATATCAGACTCATATTTTGAGATATGGGCAAAGCCATGCATTCTTTTAATTGGGTATTTTAGAAGGATTTTAATTTTATTTTATTGAGCAGATGAATTTAATGATATTTTTTAAAAGAAATAAGGAATGGCTGTCTAAAAAAATTAATGGGCCATAGGTTCAAATCCAGCCTCAGACACTTGACACTAGCTATGTGACCCTAGGCAAGTCACCTTATGCCAAGTGCCTCACCAAAAAAAATTAATGGGTCAGAACAAAATCTCTTATGCCTCAGGTAAATAAAAAAAAGTGTTAGTATTCTGCATGCGACATCAGATAATAGAACAGAAAAAATAAGATTGAAATTGATTGCCAGGGAAGTTGTATGTGGCTTACAGGTAGTATATATCGTGAAATAATTTGAACATTTAGTATATGTGCACCAAATGGCATTGTATCTGTGAAGAAGGGATTGAAAGTGCCGTCAATGAAAGGGAAAGAGAAAGATTAAAGTGAAGATAATTGGTCAAATACTGCGGAGAGAGCATGGTCATTCACAAAGTTTGAATTCTAGTGTCACCTGTTGGGATTTTGGTGAAGTCACTCAGCCATTCTGAGCTCATGGTCTGAGTGGTGAAAGTGAGGAGAATAATGGCCTTGCCTGGATCACAGGTTTGTTGTGAAGATCCACTGTGATTATGCATGAAGCTCTTTGTAAATTAAATCATCCTTGGGATGTGAGCTAAGGGCATTTTAAATTATTAGTTCAGCCCTTTTAAGATTTTTCTCTTTGAATGAGGAAATAAAAAAGTAAATGAGTTTATGTTCTGCTAATGAAATGAAGGTAATATAAATAGATTTATGTGTATGAATGGTTTCTGTATTTGTTTTATTGTTTTTTTTTTTTCATAAGGAGAGAGCAGACTTGAAAGTAAGGAAACTACAGCAGAGCTAAGCCTTTCTGTGGAAGAAACTCATAAGCAAAGATTCAACAATGATGGTCCTGGTGACATCAGTTGCAGAGAAATCTGTACTTCACTTGAGAGAATCCACACCAGAGAGAAATCTTATGAATGTAACCAATGTGGAAAGACTTTTAAGTGGAAGGGCACTCTTGTTCAACATCAGAGAATCCACAGAGGAGAGAAACATTATGCCTGTAATCAATGTGGAAAGGCTTTTAGAGACAGGAGTGTTCTTACTCGACATCAGAGAATCCACACTGGAGAGAAACCTTATAAATGTAATCAATGTGGAAAGGCTTTTACAAGGAAGTCTGGTTTCATTTTGCATCAGAGAATCCACACTGGAGATAAACAATATGAATGTAATCAATGTGGAAAGACGTTTATATGCAAGGGCACTCTTGTTCAACATCAGAGAACCCACAATGGAGAGAAACCTTATAACTGTAATCAATGTGGAAAGGCTTTTAGGGAAAGTAGAGGTCTTCTTGTACATCAGAGAACCCACACTGGAGAGAAACCTTATGAATGTAAACAATGTGGAAAGACTTTTACATGGAAGGACAGTCTGGTTCAACATCAGAGAATCCACACTGGAGAGAAACCTTATGAATGTAATCAATGTGGAAAGGCATTTAAGTGGTCTACCAATCTGACTGTACATCAGAGAATGCACACTGGAGAGACACCATATGAGTGCAATCAATGTGGAAAGGCTTTTAAATGGTATACCAGCCTTACTCTACATCAGAGAATGCACACTGGAGAGAAACCTTATAACTGTAATCAATGTGGAAAGGCTTTTAGGGAAAGTAGAGCTCTTACTCTACATCAGAGTATCCATACTGGGGAGAAACCTTATGACTGTAATCAGTGTGGAAAGACTTTTAAAAAGAAAGCTCAGCTTGTTGTACATCAGAGAACCCACTCTGGAGAGAAACCTTACAAATGTAATCAATGTGGAAAGGCTTTTAAATGGTGGAACAGTCTTACTCTACATCAGAGCATCCACACTGGAGAGAACCTGTATGAATGTAATCAGTGTGGAAAGACTTATACACATAAGGCCAGTCTTGTACAACATCAGAAAATCCACACTGGAGAGAAACCTTATAAATGTAATCAATGTGGAAAGACTTTCAGATGTAGGAAGAGTATTCATTTACATCAGAGAATCCACACTGGAGAAAAACCTTATAAATGCAATCAAT